TGTTCCTGGCTCATAACAGTTACTCCCATAGCTTCAGGGGAAAGTGTCAGAATACAGTGCACCCTTTCACAGAATGGTTCTCAGCCTTTTCAGACTGAAGCCACCACTCCAAAACTTTTCAGAATTTAGTAGTACCTCATTAAAAAACAAATTGATATACCATTACCCAAATCCAAGACAACTTTGAATTTAGGGCACCCACCCCCCAATAATTAGATTCAGTCCATGTAAAAATTATAAATGTATTATAATTTTTCATATATAGAGTCTAATTATTGGAGGTTGTCTTAAATTTCCTCATTCCCCCACTGCTGCAGCAGGGTAAACAGCGGCAGGGGGCAGTCCCCTTCCCCCTACTGATTGCCCCCTAACAGTGCCTGTCACCCTAGCACCTGCGTTTCTGCCATTTCCCCCTGCTGCCTCTGCCCCATCCTCCCCTCTCCCTCTCTCTGCAGCTTCCCCTCTGGCTCTGGTTCCAACACAGAGCATGTGGTCACTCTGGCCCCAGCCTGGCCACACATTCAGTTGTTGCAGTAGCAGCAGCCCCTCTGGGCCAGGCCCCAATCCTGAAGTCAAGCCAGAGCTGCAGCCACCACTGCCACTACTGTATAGCTGGGCTGGGGCCAAAGCCACCATGTGGCTGCCGCCATGGAGCAGGCAACCTGGTTCAGGGCCGGAATCAGAGCTGTAGTAACCACCTGTCCTCCCTGCTATGTGTATTCAAATGGAGACAGGACCTACCCAGATTTCCATGGTAAAGAGAGAGACTGCCAGTTAGCCCCTGGATCCAGCATATTGCTGGACTCTTCCCAAACCAATTGCGTGATGCTAACCTAGTGCCTAGATTTAGTAATCTATCCCTGCTCTTTGGATAGCACCCTTCTGTTGCCAGCTATTGAAGTTGCACATAGCACTGAAGTGGTAGCAATCTGGTGGTAGGCTAAAAATTCTAGATTCAAACCCCCATGATGATTGATGCATGATGGAGATTTCAATTGCTTATTAATAGAACTTGTTGGGGGGGGGGGG